ATCTGAGACATATGTTAACATATCTCATACGCCTGTAATTTCACCAGCACCCTTACCCTTCAAAACCAGAACGCAGCAATGCTCACATTACTGCTTAGCGACATAAATAGGTAAGGTGATAGTACTTCCCTGGACGAACTCTGTTACAAGGAACTCTACTGCTACTAAAAGCTGCTCGCTTTGACGTTGTTCTTTATTTGTTCGCTGTACGCCATTCTTGGTTTTCCTCCTTGCTTTTTCCTTCTATCTTTCCCTCAATTATAACTCTCACAAATTCGTCATTACGCGTAACAATTATTTTTAATAATGTGCCAAACAACCACATCAATTATCTCTCAAGCTAGGAAATGCCCTGTACTATAGGCCTGCCAAAGCAACGGAATTCACTCTGGGGCACTAACTAGAACAAAAAAAATAAAATAAATATCGCACACATTCATAACCCTGCACTAGGAAAACCCTGTGTCGCAAGTGCCATGGACACATAAAGACAACCACAAATTACACCCAAACTTACGAGAGAAACAAATGTAGGCCATGCAAATATTTCTCCCGGTCCGGGAATCAAATCTGCCTATCTACTACTATAACTACTATAGCTACTATTTAGTTATACATTATAGTAGCTGTTTCTATACAAGCAGTGTACATATACACATTTTCCTCTTTTTGTTCTTTATTGTCTTTTGAAAAATTCTCTCTTTGCTAATCCTATTTTAAAACTTTTTAATTTCATACGATTTATTATAGTCATCGAGTAAATAACCAGAAACAGAAACGAAATATCATTTAATTTGTTTGAACGCTATTCTGCCAAATCATTACTGTGATTGGCCATCCCGAATTCGAAACAATTGACGGGTGTCGTCAATTGCTTCACTTCGACGACCAGTTTAACTTGAACTTTGCTATAATGGACGAAAATTATAAAATTACACATTTAACATTTAATTACCGATGAAACGTGATTCCGATTGTTTTGTAATTAGATGAGAACAGCCTCATTGTTAGAGATATTATTTTCATTACAATAAATGTAGAATATTTTGGAATATACGGATACGTACATACAGGTCAGTTGTTGGCGCTGTACTATTTTAGTTTTCTAATTTGTGATTTCAGCACAAACGAGAGTTGATATTTGAATGTGATATAAGGCCCATTTACCTGATGAGTTGCCAGGGATGGATGGCCCTTATTTCATCCTCTATTTCTGGTTATATATACTCGATGATTATAGTATACGGACGGCAAAGGACTAGGAGCGTTGAACTGCTCAGGGGGAGGCTTATGTATAGAAGTGGATGCGTGTCAGCTGATAATGATGATTATAAAATTATGTAAAGTAAAGAGTGTTATGTTATATCACCATTAATTATTAGAGAACCCAGTATTAACTGTTGCAATGTTTGCAAATAAGTGCTTTGAGGCACATTTTCGTGTTTAAAAATACACACATCAGCTATTCATAATACAATTGATTAAAAAAATAACTGTTACCTTATCTCCTAAAACCCGAGAAAAAGAATGAGATAAACCCTAAACGCCCAATGTACTTTAAAATGTAATAATACAGACCCAAGCGTGAATGCCCTCAGTTTTGTATGAAGGACTCAAACGAGATTTTTTAAAGTATTTTTTTAGATACCTCATGATCATTTGTCGCAAATGACATCAAATACTGTCGTAACTCAAAATTGTGGAATTGAGAAGACACAATTTGAAAAAAAAAGAATGAATGTTAATGCGAATAATGTGATTATTTTTATTTATACATAATACTTAATTATATCTTTATAAACGAGATATACATTTTGGTTACATTAAGTATTTATTTTTAAATTTTCGAACCGTGTCCTCTCTACAATTTTGAATTGCGACGGTATGCGATATATTACTATTTATGTAACTAACTACACAATATTTTTATTAAAATTTTTGGGCATTAAGTGGTCATAGGAATAATATTGTCTGGATCTGAATCACTTCACTTGTTACAGTACAGTTTGATGTACACGGGGCCTTATAGGAGGTTAAAAAGCGCATGATGAGAAAACATTTCCTACACAGATAACAAGCTCGTGCACGTATTATTCATAAACAAGCTCGTTTAATGATAATATATGCAACTAATTATATTGTACAGTTAAGGAAAAAACGATCTTTATGTATACAAAATTATTGGCAAAAACATCTATCAAGGAAGTTTTCTACTGAAAATGAACATGGAATTTGAAATGAGTGACAAAAATAGCACGGAAATCCACTAAAGCATGAAGTTCCGATGAATACTACACGCAATGCTGGTTGTTGTGCATGGAAGTAAAGCATTATTTGAAGTATAGTTTAGTAATGCACATGCAAACCTTATCAATTGGCAATCTTTCATGTCATGACACGAACAACGATAACTATATTAGCAAAACAACAACAGCATATACATAAGGTTCGATATGTTAATTTATTTGAATTGAATATAATAATTGTAACTTTTAAGAAAAATAAAAACCGACCTCAAAAGTATTTCCTTATCCGTTTTCGCTGTGTTAATAAGTTAATAATCAATAAGTGCCGTGTTTTACTGAATTACAAAAACGTTCTTTAGGTGATGTGTCCGTTAGTAATTTCATGTTTAGGCTGATGGTTTAGCCAACATCTCAATAAATAAAAAAGTAATAGATTCCATAAATATTCGATTAAATAGTAATTTAGTTATTAAGTTTCGTTGTAGAACATTTACTGTTGTAATGTTAATTTGCAATTGTAATTTTCATATTAAATTGTTAAATTGAAACTTAGTATTTTCGTGCTAATGGCGATAGTGGAGCCAGCTAAGCGAGAGTTAGACAAGGCGACATTTAACAGCGATGCAGTGGCTAATCGTCGACCTTTACACACGCGCGCGATTTTAAGCAGAGATGTAAACGCGATGCAAGGGCGCGACTGCATCGATACAATCGCGCGATTGCATCGCTACACTTCGGATTTATAGACGATTACATCGATGCAATCGTGCGTTTGTATCGATGCAGTCGCGCGTTTGCATCGATGCAATCGCCTATGAGTCGCAAGTGTAAGTGTAAGTTGTTCCTCGCCTCTGTCTGTCATAATATTTTATTTTAATTGGAATTACATATTCCTTTTACATTGTTTTTGTCACAAGTAAAAAGTTTAGAAAAAGGAAACACATAACAGCGAATAAAAACCATTAATAGATTTATGTATCGTTGCCATCACATGCTATCAGGTGTCTAACAAAAGAATTAATATATAATACTTACACTTAAAACTATTAAATTGTGAAATAATAATAAAGTTAAGGCATGGATTTAAGATTTGTTTTACATTTTTCTGGTTCACCTAGAAGTTTATCAGGAATGTCACTTGGCTATTTATTTAGCAGTAATGGTTACATGTATCTCCAGACACGCTTTCCATAGTTGTTATTGTATAGAGGAAGAACATAACCTGGTAAACACACCTATGTGCCAGTTTTATTGAAATCGGTTAAATGGAAAGGAGTGAAATATAATAAACCGCATTTATCACCTATTTTGCCACTCTTAGGGGTAGAATATTTTCTTGAAATTTGAATACGACCACTACTATGATATGTGTGGGAAAGCCCCCTTTCCCACAAAAAAAATAATCATCGAAATCGGTACACAAATGTCGGAGTAATCGCGTAATTTAACACAAAAAATACTATTTTTCCGGATTTAAATCGCGTATATTTGTTTTTTCAAACAAACCGACGTTTCGGGCCCTTTACAGGTCCCATGGTCACGGTTGACTGAGGTGGTACAGTCTTCAACCAGTTATGTCTAATATTAATGCAAACCACCCTATTTTTTCACTATAGTTACAATAGTTATTAATTAAATACCTTATTTTTAATTTTACAAAGAAAACATTCCAATTTACGCTACATTAAGTTTTACAATTATTTTATTGAATGAATTTTTATTAGGTTTAATTTATTATTAATTATTAATAGAAATTAGAATAAACTAAAACATATTAATTAGTACTGCAGTCTTATGTCTGTTTGGGATTTTTCATTAGAGGAAATACTGGATCCCAAACTGGTGGTACGGAGAAACCATCTTCCCTGTTGAAATTAGGATGTTCTTTAATTTCAATGGCCTCTCGCAGCATCCTGGGTAGATAACGGACTTCTTTTGCTTTAAATCCGGAAAAATAGTTTCATTTCCTATGTGTAACAATCGCGAAAACCTAAGAACTCGATACAAAAAATACTGTCGAATTGAGAACCTCCTCCTCCTCCTCCTCCTCTTTGTTCAAGCATTTTTTAAAATTAAAAGCAGATATTAAAATCCACCAAATTTGAAACTAAAATGATACGAAGATCGAACACGTAGAACAATTACTTCGATTCTTCCGGACCATTGACACTTGAGCCCACGACCATGATGCACCGTAGCATTCCTCTTACCAACTGAGCCACACATCTTTGTACTGGCTTTCGGCATTCGTCGCTGCTAGTGACATTTAGTAAGTAAGTAAGCTCAGCTGGTATGGTGCAGCATGGTCGTGGGTTCAAGTCCCACCGGGTAGAAGAATTTTTCCTATGTTTACGATCTTTGTATTAATAATAATAACAAAACTAGTGGAGTTATTTTACAAAAATCTCAATAATAAACGGATACGGGTTTCTGTTTTAGACCAGTTATACCATTGGTATAATAAAGGCATAGTGATCGTATGTCAAAAGTACTTTTATCACATGAAGATCATAAAAATAATACAAATCATGAAATTAATTTAATATAAAATATAAATATAGATAATAATATATAATTGTATAATTTGATATAAATAATAATGTAAAATTTTATAACTCTACTGTTTAAGTTTAAAAGAATTTGAAGAGTTAGTTATTTTGCAGATGTGACCTTATTACATTAAGAGTGCGAAGATAAAATATGCCTGCTGACTGGAATCGATATTGTAAGTTGATAATTTTTTTTTGTCCACAGATAAAGATGGGCTGTTACCGAGCGCTGTTATTGGCATTGTTAGTGCGATTTGTTCAATCCGAAGAAAATTTCGAGTAAGTATTTCAACAACTGCGATTTTCTTGAAATTTCAATGGCAAAAGTATTTTGATATTTAGCGGCAAGTGGTCTCATAATATAAGTTGTCAAATATTTAGGATCACGACAATAAAAAATCTTATTTTCTGTCGAAATGGGGTTTTATATATATCTTTTTCTTAGTCCTTAACCTCATTGCTGAAGGTCATGTCTCTAACGTTCCGACACCGCTTTGCTCGTATAGCAATGAGTACGTTGAAATCATAGCGCTGCGACGCAACGCGCCGACAGCGTTCGTGAAGCATCGCTCTAATATAAAGTACGACTTTCATTTAGTTCGTGCTCTTTGGCAGCCATAACAAAATAATATAATAATATCTACGTACATAATTAAGCCAATTCTATACGGACAATTCAATGTAAAATCAAAGTGCAACGAACAAATGCCATAGTGCGTTGAAATCGTAGCGCTGTGACGACGCAACGCGCCAGCAGCGGCCGTGAAGCGTTTTACTTACGCACCGCAGCATCCCCGCTACGATTCCTGATGAACCATCTTTTTTTTTCGGCCCTCTCCCGATCACATACGGCGACCTCTTTCTGGAGCATCATCACCTCACAGAAGGCGTGTAGTTCTAATTTATATGTAGTACAACACAGCGACACAGCTTACCCCCCCCGTTCACACACACGGTATTGCACTGAACGTTTTTTTGCAGGACAAACACCGTGTGGACGGTTCTATATCTGATGTATGCGCCACTGTCTATTCGGTTCGGATTTATACTGCCAAAAAACGTGCAGTACAATACCGTGTGAACGGGGGTTAGGCGTCGCAACGTCGACGCAACGCATCCTCTAGCATCGCTCTTACTACTTAAACACGTAGTGTGTGCCTAATCTAACCTAAGCTATTTGTATTATAAAACGCATAAATTAGTTTTGTGGTTATCTATATAAGATAACTAGAGCTCGTGCAATAAAAACAGATTTAGTAATTGTAAGCAAAGAAATCTAAATATGTAAGTGAAGTTTTGCCTCCCTTTCCCCAGTAATGATATACCAAATGATGAGTACGGGCAAATAGCTTTGAAGAACTTAGCGGCGGACATTTTCATCACATATCTTGAAAGAGTTTCAAAAAATGTATATCGCAAGAATTACCCGTAAGTTAACTAATTGTGTAACAAAATCCTAAAAAGTGATACTTACGCGATTATCACACTGCACCGCGCCCCGCGACGGAGCGCGGAGCTGCGGTTTTGAACGTTGCACTGAAGTACCGCAGTTTGTATGGAAAACACGCGCCGTCGAACACACTGACAACGCATCTCCGCGACGCGTGCGGTTTTACCGCGCCCCCGCGCGGAAGGGCGCGGCGAACCGCAGGGTATGGCATACTGCACTCTACACTACTGCGCCGATTTTTAAGCTTAAGGACATGTTCAATTTTCTACAATAGATATCGGCGTCGATAAAATTATATTTGCTATTGAAAATAGACCAAATTTATCTTCATATTTTCTTAAATCTTTGAAAATAGCCAGTTATCGATCTGGTTCGTAAAAAGGGATATATACAATATCTTTGGTGTCTTTTTATTTGAGTAAACAAAAACAAATAAATAGTATAACTGCAGCGTCCTGAATGAGTTCTGTATTATTAACCATTCTTGTTAAAGAAGGATCTCGGATCTCTACATATACAATCACTACGGAGATCAACTGCGTAGCGAGTACTTTAAGTGACGCGGGGCCGCTAGACCGCTGCCCCTGCGCAGATTAAACCGCGCGTTGACGCAGATTTGCGTCTCTGCCACCGCGCGCGTGATTCCGCGTCTCGCGCTCCGTCGCGGGGCGCGGTGCAGTGTGTTAATCGCCTTAGATATTTATGCACAATGGTAGCTATACGCATAGAATATAAACGGATTTAAAGATTACATGATTACTCTTATTGTTAACTAAAGCGGTCTTTAATCATCAAGAAGTTTTTAATAAGAAATTTACATTAACAACAAGCTTTTTTTAACAAATATTATAACTCTAAATAAGTACATTCAGTACGATTTATTTTACCGGTATTTCTTTTTACCCAATATGTTTTATTTTAATGTACTAGTATAATGTAACCTAAGATAAGGAAACCTAAAACAACATCTATTTATTTAGTTAACCGAACAATCAACTTTTGCTGCTTAATAATTTCAATACTGTATATCGTATGAGATTATAATTGATTAGTACGTAAAAACAAAGTAGTCAGACATGATGTCAGTCATTGTCGTTCTGCAGTACGTTAGCTGTTCGTGCTGCTGGAATCCTAATTTGATCCTAATCGGCTTTGTGCCCTGGACATAAGTGTTCAAGTGAAAATTCAATCGTAATTTTGTTTTGTCCATAGACCAACATGGGCATTTAAATGCGTACCAGATAAGGGCTGTCAGAGGACGACGGAGCCGGTTGACCACGTCTCTTCAGAGGGTCCCGATCTCTTCAGCAGTTTAAGCGTCTGCAGGACTGTTTGCGGCCGATTTGGAGGCCTCTGGCCGAAACCTGTTGTTGCTGCTCTTAGCATGCAGACTGTGCGGTTCCACCCTAACCATTTAAGGTAAGTAAGTTCTTATGAGTGACTCTGACATTGAGCTGTCGCATTACATAAGTAGAAAAACCGCTTATTTTGTTGAATACCTAACACAGCTATCATTGTTTAGAAATTAGCAGTTTCCGTGATTAGTATTTAGGGGAAATATGTATAAAATGACATAGGGTTTTATTTTTTAGATTTATTTTATAGATAATTCTGTAGTGGTAATACACAGCACACTCATATTTTACACCAACAGTCTTTGGTTCATTATTTACTGAAATTAACAAACATTTATAGAATAAAAACAACAGAAAGAAAATAGTTCGTAGTTTAACTGAGATCAATTAAAAACCATTTTGTCCATATACAATGGACAAAATGACATACACGTGGAAACTGTACAATTATTGACGAAGTTTACAATTATAACGCTTTGTTCTTCTAGGAACATCAGACCAAGAAGCGTGAGCCCAATGCGAATAATTTAAGCATAATCGTGTTTTCCGTGCTTAGATCGAGAAAAAAGATCGTTGCAATATATGCAAGGACAGTCCTCTTCGTTAATTCGAGGGTTGCAAGGAAAATTTTCTTCTTTGCTGTCATCTTCAAACAACTTTGTAGTGATGTTTAGTACCTTCTTTGCTGGGGGATTCGATCGATTTAATTTCTCATGAATTTCCCTTATATTACGAGTAACAGTTAAAACAAACGAGAAATGCCGAGTCTTTGGTTTACGTTTCCATTGTCCACTAATGAAATGTCCTTTTGGGGCTGAAGAAAGTTATAATATGTTTTATTATTATGAAAATTATAATGAATAAATTAAGTTAATTAAGTTGAACTCCTATAACGAGCGCATAAGTAGAAAATGGCATACCTATATCATTGTGTCCGTTGTGTAGGTATATATGTTGTTTTGTCCATATAACGGTTTTAAAAAAGGAAATTCAAAAATTAACACACTTTTTTAAATCTTATTTGAGGGCAACAACAAACTATTGTGAGATAAAATAAATACAACAACAATAGCGAATTATGAATAAATTAAATTAATAAATAAGCGAAAAACTTATCATTTATATAGAAACTTCTGACGTACAAACCGTAAAAAACGTGTGTTCAGCGACGATATGTCATTTTATACGTATTACCCCTACCTATGGTAAAGGAAAAATGTGGTTCCAACTTGTAGATCAAAGTTTTCTCTCCTTCATTCAAGCCGGATTTACATTCATCTGACGTGTCACGACACGATGCGTCAGACGAATACATTTAATATGGTTAGATTTATATTAGTGTGTCGCAATCTGACGTTACGGCTTGTGTTGTGTGTAAGAAACTGATACCGTTCTGACGCGTTACGACACGATAAGTCAGACAAAAGTAAATCCGACTTAGAAATGTATTTATTACTTTTGGATATATATTCATAAAAAATATTCGAGCATTCTTTCATACAACTCACAAGTTACCGTAAAAAGAAACGGTTCCGCTGTTGCGTATGTTTATTTTACTCCATACGTACCGATAAGGTAGGTCTAGTGTGACAGTGATAAAATATATTGAATTTAATCTTGTTTGTTGCTTATATTTCATTTTAAGGAAAATAGGTCAATAGTTAGGAAGTAGGTAAAAACCGACTGTTTCCATGCGCTTCTGGTTTGCTTGTTGTTTGTATACTTGTGTAAAAAATAAGATTTGAATCGTATAACAAATTTAACAAACTATGATTGTTAACTTTTAACTTTGAATCAGATAATAAATAACAGTAACTTTTTAATCAAAATAAAATCAACCTCAAAAAATTGTGGAATTACATCTATTTGCCAAGTTTTATTGAAATCATCTTTATAATTATCTCAATTTTATTTGCTTCATCCCCTAATTTACCACCCTTTGCACTCACGCACGCACACACTGAGAGACACACATATTCATAAACAACAATACTGACAAACAACACAACACATAAGTTAAGGCACAAATCATGAGAAACTTGCGTTCCGGGAAACTAACTAGTTAATACCGTTAGGCCGCTAACAGATTGACTGCGTGTTTGATCGATGTCGGATCCATGAAATCGGTTTCAACTGAATGTAGTTAAAGCGTGATGTCGTTATTCGAGACACCGACTGCATGAAATTGATAACGACTTCACGCATTAAGTGTATGCAGTCCAAACCGACTTCATGTAGCCGAGATTAACTTCATGCAGTTGAGGGTTCGGCTGCATGAAGTCGCTTATAACTTCAGTGCAGTTAATCTGTATATATCGCATTGCTATTACAATAGTGTCGTAATTCAAAATTGTTGAATTGAAAAAATACAATTTGAAAATTAAAAAATACTGTATCATTGACCTAGTATGGATGTTATTGTCAATACTGTGATTATTTTTATTTATACATTTTATTTGTGTATATATCTATGCATTATGCATGTATGTGTAAGTGTATATAATATAATAGTGAGGATGTGTGTACTTTTGTCTTATGTTCTAAACACCTTAACCTACTCTACAAAATTGACTGTTGTATGTAGAAATAAGATTAATATTAAGATAGATCTATTAGATGTAGTACAGATATGGATGTAGAAGAGGAGACCTAACATAGGCATTGCTACGCTTAAAAGGACATTCCTGTCAATATTATTGTAAATCGAAAGTAGGAAAGAAATAAATTATTATTATTATACATAATACTTAGTTATCCATTTATAAACTAAAATATATATATTGGTTTCATTCGGATTTTTAAATTTTTAAATCGTGTTTTCTCAATTCCACAATTTTGAGTAACGACTCTACATATTGTAATAGCAGTGCGATATGTGTGTGCGTGTATCCTGTCCCTATTCAGAAAACATATATATTTTGATTAACAATATTATTATATAAATTTCACACATATATCATAATATTGTAATTATATATTATACCCACAGACATATATCTAGATAGACGCCGCAAGTGTACGTACTTCGCGTACCCAAAGTAAGTGAAATTCACTTCCTTGCCACTGCTACACTTCAGAACGTGCTCGACCGTCATCGTGGATAAACACCAGTCGAAAACGTGAAAAATGCGTAATTGTGCCATAATAAGCCGCAAAAGCACCATAACTGTGTGTAAACGGGTAAACAGGGACGTTTCCTTCCACGGGCAATTCAGTGATTTTGTAATCAGAAGATATGTATTTTAAAAACAATTATTTTGGTTTTGTACGAATTTTGAGAAAACAAATATGCAACCGAGTGTATGTCTCATATTTGTAATACATTGCGGCTTTTACTATATATTTGTGATTCTTAGTTAATACGCCATGAATATCGAACGAACGCACTTTTGTATAATGCATTCAGTTTCGTGGTACGGCCGCTTGTACACTTCTTTGGCCAAATTGAACATTTAGTGATGTATACGTTAGGCAACATGTTCTCGATTCTGATCAATTTTGAAAACAAAGGGACGAAAATTATTATGACCTTAGCAACATTATAAAAATATTCTATAACTCTTTTGTTAAGTACTGATATCTTATCTCTATATATTCTTATATCTCTCTTATTAGACTTATCTATTATGTAGTGATAATTCAGTAGTATCTGTAATTTCGATAACTTTTACAGCACGTTGCCTCGAATGTCCGAATATAGTGAGCAAATAATTACATACATCGCCGTATATGTAGTACGAGTAATACAAAAAAATATATAATGCAAAGAATTAACAGTGCGCTGTCTTTACAAAAACCTGGAGTTGGTAATATGTACACACATCAAAAAAAGTTTGCGATCACTTCGAAAAACTGAAATCTTTTTTGTTACTGTAGATTATATTATGATTTTTTCTTATTTTTAGACTCTTTATTTAAAAATAAATTAGAACATAAAACAATGACCCCGTTCAATTGTTTTTTCATATAAAAAGGCTTTCAGTCCTAGCTTACGCTCATTCAGAAATCTGATTTAGTCAATTATAAGCGATTCAAGATATTTTTCGCGGAAAGTTGTGATTGAAAAAATGCCAAGAGGATTATCAGAGGTTTTACGAGCTAGAATAGTAACTTTGAGGGAAGAAGGATACACCACGAGAGTAATAGCACGCAGACTTGCTATATCCCAATCCTGTGTCGTGGCTACGTTGCAGAGGCATCACGGAATGGGGAATTTAGCTGACCGACCCCGCAGCGGTCGCCCAACTGTTTTGACAGCTGCCCAAAAGCGCTATATTAGATTGCTGGCAGCCCGTGATCCAACAATCAACGCCACTAAAATAAAAGCAGAAGTCAGGGCCGCCTCTGGGCTTGAAGTTAGCACGCAGACCGTTCGCAATTGCTTGCACCAGGCGGGATTACGAGCACGGAGGTCTTGGCGAGCTCCGCTCAATTCCCGGCAACGTCAACAACGAAGATTGCACTGGGCTAGACTTCGGCAAAATGAAGAAGGTGAGGACGAAAACATTTGGCAAAACTGTCTCTTCGTTGACGAATCCCGAATCAGCACTCATCCAGATAACCGACGTGTCCATGTCTGGAGAAGACCAGGCGACCGTGAAAGACAAAGAACTGCCACTGGAACAGTTCAGCAAGGCGGAAAATCGGTGTCCTTTTGGGGTGGCATTATGATTGGAGCTAGAACGCCTTTGATCCCGTATCGGGGCTTCATGACAGCAGACATGTACAAAGCAGTTGCTATTGATGATATCGTCAGACCATTCCGAGTAAACCATGGGCACCAATTTGTACTGGTCGATGATAATGCGCCCGCACATCGAGCTCAACGAGTCAATGCTGCTCTTCAAGAATACGATATCACACGATTAGACTGGCCTGCCGGCTCGCCCGACTTAAACCCAATAGAGCACGCGTGGGATGCTCTTAAACGAGCAGTTTGGAACCGTGAGCCACGCCCCCAGACAGTTCCAGAGCTCAGGGAAACCGCTATTGAAGAATGGGATAGGTTACCCCAGGAAATGCTGGATAATTTGATCCTCAGCATGCCCAGGAGGATCTTCGCAT